CACAATTCACAGTGCTCACCATAGCACATACCCTCCCCAGTGTCTATCATCCAGCCACCCCATTCCTCCCACCCCCCACCACTCCAGCAACCCTCAGTTTGTTTCCTGAGACTAGGACCTTTCTAATGTATACTCAGTTCCCAAAATACTGACCAAGTTCTGGTCAAGGGGTAGGAAACCTTTCCAGAAAGGTTTGAATTATTAAGGATTGCCATAAATCATGTGCTTTCTCAGGTTAGTATATCATACCTGCTTTAATATATTAGGTAAGACTTTTACTTCTAACAGTACGTTAGACTAGGTACTGTTAAACAACTAAATCCTGAATAAAATCTATTTTTGAATGCATTAATCAGCTCAAAGAAAGTAGGGGAAGTTTCTGTGAATCATACCTCTATTTTTACTTGCCCACAGATGAACACATTTTGAGTTGGGAATTGCGAATACTGTATTAAGCATGCAAGTGGGCAGTGGTTACACATATAGCAAATACCAACTGCAACATAGCCATATGCAGTTTGCCTTGGACTAGAAACAAGATGAATCTGAATCTGAGATGTTGTCCTAGCCAGGACAGTTGAAGTGGCTACTTAGTTTGTGGTATCCTGTAACTCCTGGCAGAAGCAAGATACAGGCTCAAGATTTCCATAGATTAAGATAAAAAAATATGACTAGAGATTACCAGGTGCAAATTGAAACTAGCTAGCATGAGAAAAAACCTATAGGAATAATAAACTTTGGATTCAATTCTCCATGGTCTTATCACTGACATCTATGAAAGATGGAACCGCAGGCAGATCTAAAAAAGAAAACAATGCTAAAAATGAAAAATATGTTACTTGAAATTAAAAAAAAAAACCCTCAGACATGTTGAATATCATATTAGACTCAACTGAAGAGACAATAAACTGGAAGTGAGATCTAAAGGAATTATGCAGTAAACAGTGAAAAGAAACAAGGAGTTAGAAAATACAAATATTAAAGAGAAGAATAGCGATATGAAGGGAAGATGGTTACAAAGACTAGAAGTATTAGGAGGGAAGAATAGAGAGGATGGAGGAGTACAATATTTGAAGATAACTATTTTCTTTTTTTTTTTTTGGAAAAACATGAATTCATAATTTGAGGCAGCACAGTATATCCCAAGCATACATGGATCAAATCCATGCCTAAACCCAAAGTAGTGTAACTACAAGATACCAAACACAAGATTTTAAAAGCATTCAAAAGAACAAAAAGATCATCAGTGAAGGCAACATACATACCAACATACTTAGTAGGCTTCTCAATAGCAACAATGTACCGAAAAGATGGTGGAATAATGCCTTCAAAATTCTGAGAAAAACTATTATCAACTTAGACTTTGTGCCAAGCAAAACTGAAATGTTCAGATGAAAAACAGATTTTTACCATCAACGGAACTTCAATAAAGAAACTGCAAAAGGTTGATCTTCAGAAGGAAAATGTTTCCACAAGGATGATCTGAAATCGAAGATCTGGTGAACAAATATAATGATAAACATGTAAATCAAAAGTGTTGCTAGTATAAAACAGTCGTAATTGAAGAAGTGTTTATAAGAAGTAAAATTGTAAACAATTGTAAAACTAAATAAACATTCTGTGCAACATGAATGTGGACTTCTAAAATAGGATATAATTAAAAAACTGGATAATAGCATTTAAGATGGGAGGAGGGTGATTAGAATTAAAGTGTTCTGAGGTGCTTTCATTATTCAGAAAGTGGCTTAAGATACTGCTAAGATAATAGATATAGAATGAATCATTGCAAAGGAAGAGAAGTTTAAAATAATGAAACAGGAAGACAATAACTTAGCCCAAAAGGAAGAAATTAGGGGTGGGGGAGGAACAAAATTAGTAAGATAATAATAACAAGTCAAGTAATACTAATTAAAATAAACATGAATAAACTAAACCCAGTTCAACAACAGATTGATTAGGTTTTTTAAAATCCAGCTATATATAGGCTGGATTTTTTAAAAGATGAAAACACAGAGGGAAATAAAATTTGTGTAGCTTTAGTGATACTAAATCAAAATTAGTTTTATGGTAGTATTAAAGATGGAGAAGGCCACTAATAATGATAAAAGGATCAATTCATTAGAAATATATAACAATTTTAAATATGTACATACTTTATAAAATGGCCTCAAAATGTATGTTATAAGACTAAACCAAAAAACAACATAGAGATTTCAACAGCTCTCAGTTATTGATAAATAAACCAAGACAAACAATGAATGAAAACACAGATTTGGATAATGCAATTAACAATATTGATTTCAATGGACAAATTTAAAATAATCAGCAATTAGAGAATATTCTTAAGCATTTTATATTAGCAAAAATTGACCATGTACTAGGTATGAAATAAGTCACAATAAAGTTTTAAAAATCAGTATTAAATGTATAATCAGAAATAAGAGTTCAGTAAGAAAGGTTAAAATTTTAAAAATCATACATTTACAAGTTTTAAAACTTTCGTAGATGAAAGAAGAAAACAAATAGTTGGAACCTAATTATAAGTATCACATTTGGAAAAATTGGGTGATGCAGCAGAAACATTACTAAAGGAAATTAAATGCATAAATTAAAAAGCCTAAGTATATAACTTAAGAGCAACAGAATAAACTTAATGTTGAAGCAAGGAGATACAGGCGAGGGAAGAAATCAATGAATTAGAAAACAAAAAGTCACAA